AACCTTAGAAAATAAAAAAGCAGGAGACTCTTTCTGTATCACGACATAGCGCAATATTGAAAATTAAACCTGATTCACACTTCCTACAAGAAGTTTATTTCAAAATATATTATTTACATTACATAAAATAGACCACAATAAGATTCTGACACTGACTAATAAAGATACGTGTTCTTACTATAAAATATAAGGTTCTATAGAATTATATTAAAACATATCTTTTGATTTTTTCAAATTTAGGAAGAAGTTCAAAACTAACAAAATATGTCAATAATGAATACAATACTTTATAAATGTATTTCTTAATTTTTTTTTAACTGCTACTGTTTTAAAACTGCAGATGTTGCTGATTTAGCATTATTTTAAAAAAAAAACTGGCATCTATAGAAAGTGAAAAAACATTTTGCCTAATGATGTCCAAGATATCATTGGTTATTGCTGATGTTTCGGTTCACACTCACGTTAATTTTTAGTGATGTTGCTATGGGGCAAAATTTTCTAAATAAATGCCCAGCATGATCTGAAGCACAAGTTGGGAAGGAAATTGCACAAATTGTTGTTTTTTTCCTCTATCTTGCACTAAATAGAAAAAAGCAGGAAAAAACACCCTGAAGGCCTGGGGGCGAAGATTTGAGGCAAAAGCAGGAGACTCCTGCTAAAAGCAGGAGAGTTGGCAGGTCTGCATAGGATTTCTTTAAAATTTTAAGAACAAATAGAATGAGGAAAGAGAAAAAATTTAGTCCACTGAGTCAGGGATAAAAACGGGGTAGTGTGCAAATAGTTGCCAGAATCTGTGAGTGTGGAAAAAAAAGGGGGCTTAGTCTGTTGCATAACTTAGTTTCAATTTTTCTTTTGTGTATGCTTGATTATTTTTGGATTGGATCAACTTATCTTATTTTGAAACAAATTACTGTTAAAAAGATTTTCTCTTCAGACCTAGTTAAAGTCTTAACTCTTCAAAATGAAAAATAAAGAAAGAATAAATTAGGATGACCATCTTTATATATGCATGACGTTCTTATGAAGTGGCATAACAACACATTATTGGTTGGCATCATTCTATTGAAAAAGAATCCCTAAGTTTCTTCAAACTGGATGGGCATAGCTCTTTTCAATGTGATCACTTTTTACTTACAGGATCACTATCTATTTTACTTGATAAAAACTGACAATTAATCATACCAACAGGTAGGATCGCGGGGAAAAAGATTTTATTGAATAGTAGTAAAACAGGGTTGCCAATTCTCTATGTATTTTTAGAAAAATTTCATTTTGTGGTAGCTAAGCTTATGTTTTAAGTATTATTCTTTATTTTCTAAATTTGATTTAAGTTATTTTCCACACTACTAAGATTGTAAATGATTCAAAAATTCACATGAAACCCCACTTTGTTCCAGCTCTCTCATGGTCAAGCTTTCAATATTTGGCAAAATTACTAAAAATTCTGAAAGTTCTAATTTTTAATTGTCTTTCACTTTATACAATAACTGGCGACAAACCTAACCTTTAATTATTATTTCAATATGAAATATTCCACCTAAATAGAATAACTAGGAATTACATTGTTCATAATTTTTCTAGAAAAAGAGGCAACAAACAAATACAGATTCCATCGATTAGAATAATAGTAATCTAATCAGAAAGAAAATGAATCTCTTTAAAACTTAGACGATGAAAATATTTCAAAATAAAATAAAAAGAGAAACCAGCTCGGCTTAATAATAGGCATGCTTTACTTAGGAAATTTTTAGTGTAACTTTCTATAGATTTTGACTTTTTCTATTTACCAAAACATTTCTATTTTTTTTTTAATTCTTTATAAATAATCAATAATTATTTTTACGGTACTTTCAACTTATTTTTCTTCTACCACAAATATCTTACAGCAGACGATAAAAGAAGAACGATTTTCATTATTATTGGTTTATGTATTCTATGTATTGGCGTGGTCTAAGTTTATATACGATCAAGTAAAATTAATCAATTTTTTGCAATTTAAAACATTAGCATGAGCTATTTTTTGTCTCTTTTAGTTCTCTATTAAGAACTACATACCTATACTGATTATCCTTTTGATAATGGATTAGCAGAGGTTTTTAAAAATAACTTCACTCCTAAAAACCTATAAAAAGTGCAGCTTTTTTTATGATCTGCAATAAATGTAAGAAATGAACAATGATTAATATTTAATTATTATTTATTGAAGATGTTAGATTAAAAATAAAAATATTCAATATAAATTGTTCTTTATTTAAAAAAAATTAGCCAGATTTAGCAAGAAAAAGCGTTATCTGGTAAAAGCATTAGTATAGGATGTTAATGGACTGCAGTAACTTAGGTAAAAGTCAGCTTTGCAGGGAGAGTAAGAATTTTCTAAATATTTATATATCTCTCAAACATTTAAAAGTTAACTGATGCTAAAATTTATAAATGAGTACTTTAACAGCCATACAAGTTGTCTGCTATGATTCTTGTATTGAAATCTGGAAATTTTTTTATTATATACAGAAAAAAACTATAATAAACTGTATTACATCTGATTTCCAGGAAATTTTGATGCTCAAAATTTAAGAAAAAAATAATAAAAACAAAAAAAAATTATATAAATAAAAAAAATTTAAAAATTAGTATTTAAGTAGTTTTTTAAGCAATATAATTTCAACAATTATTTAACAGATTAATAAACTAAATTTAGCAGATTATAAAGAATGGCACAAGTTATTATAAAAAAAAACTTTTAGTAAAAACAATATTGTAATTGAAATAACTATACACAAAGGAGAATTAAACAGACAAAAAGTTTATTAAATTAAATTTTCTTTACAAAAATATACGAAAACAGAAAAATATATATAAAGTAGATTTCTTTATGCTTTAAAATATAATTATAATAAAATATTTACTTATGCAGAAGAAAGCTAACTAAAAACAATTTTTCTGAAGCACCGAACATGATTTTGGACTCAACATAAAAATTCAAAATGAAACATCTGAATAAATTTCAATAAGTTAATAAACAGTAAAAACTTTTTTTTCATGCTTAATTAAATCAGGTTATCAATCAGGATATCTGAAAGATTTATATTCTGATAGACACAAATGTAATTGTTTAAAACTAATCCAGTTCTCCCACCAGCAAAAAAATAATAGTTTAGCACTAGATTGCAAAAAAAANAAAAAAAAAAAAAAATAAGGAGGTTAAAAAAGAAATAAAAAAAGACCCATAAAATTGAATATTTTACAAAAGCTTTTCTTAATTCCATAATGAAAATACAAAATGGCACTTTTTAAAATATTAGATTGATGCAAAAGGCTTTTCTCGTGTAGGTAATTAAGAGAGCTTTTTTTTTTACATTAAGGAAACTTAATTCTAGAATAATAAGTTCAAAGTATATTTTAATTTTTTTGAACCAATTTAAATAAAAAAGTAAGTAATTTTTTCATTTAACCAGTTAGTTTAAAAGCTCATTTTATTTAAAATACAAGTTAAACAAAGTTTTTTAAATCAACAAATGCATTATATTAATTGTACAGTTTAGTTTGGATTCAGATTTGTAAATTTTTGATCTGTTGCTCCTTACTAAACAACTAAAATCAAATCATGAATGCTTTCCTGAAAGTGAGGTCTCTTCCTCACATTTTTAGCATAATTTACATAATCTGGCTTATTCTTTCAGAAAAATTTCTACATAATTTTTTTCTCCATCAATTTAACCAGTACAAAATATAGTACCTCCGTAAAGATCATAAAAATATCGCTCTTCATTTGAAGCCGAGTACACAAAACTAAAATTATTGATATACAAAAATATTTGGCTTATTCAGATATATAAGTTAAAATAAATTATCAACAAAAATTATATTCTTATATCAAGTTTATTTAGCTTAAAATTGCAAGTTAAATATAGTGTGAAGCAGATTTGGTTTTCATATTAGAAACCAGGACGAAAATCAATAAATGAACATTTAATCAAATAATAAGAAAACAGGTATAGTGATTTCTGAAAATGTTTATTTGAGATCACCTCAGTTGGCACATATTGATCAGAAATATTAATTTTCCAAAAAGTTTCAAATATTCAATTCAATTATACAATAAAAATCATTTATGATGAAAGATATTTAACTGCAATAAGAATGGAATGTTTCCACAACAAGCAAAACTAATTAAATGCAGGAAAATGTTAAAAATAATTTTTATTCTTTAATTTCTATTTGATTTTTTTTATTATGTAGTAAATACAAAAAATCAAAACTGTCCCCATATGTTTTAGCAAAGTAATATTTAATAAAATAATTTCCTTAAAATTTCCAAGAAAAAAACTTAAAATAGAAAAATTCGTTATTGTCAAATACAAAATTTCGTGGATAGCAATTCCAATAAAATTAGAATTTATAATACAAAAGGATTCATTTATAATGTAAGCAGAATTTACTGTTTTATTTTTAACAATGAGAGTAATTTTTTGTTTCAAAATATACTTTTTAGCCCCATTTAAAAATTGTTTCAAGGATAAGTCAAGATCAAATGCATAAAACCATCTCTTATAGCAATTTACCATGCCTTAAACAAGATGAAATACTAAAATGTAAAAAGAACTTAAAAACAATTGCATATATATTTCCAATAAGGTTTACAACTGATAAGAATATTGAACTTCATGACCAAGATTTTCCTTCAAACAGCATAGAGGGAAGGAAAAGGCAACTTATTAGATGGCTGGAGCCTGAAAGACATTTTATGATTAAGAAATACATGAGAAGCCAAGAGAAACAAGAATTAAGTTGGCAAACCAACAAAGGACATTATAACTGAAGCATGAATTGTTTAAAATACAAAGTCTGAAATTATATATTGCAAACTAACTTGCACAAAATAAAGTAGATTGTTTGCTTTACTTTTAAAGTGCTTTACAATAATAAACATATAAAAATAGCTTTGAGTGTAACACTGATTATGTTAAATAAATTTTTTTGGAACAATATATTATAAGTTTCTAAGTGACTCTGAAAAAATCTTTAAAAAAATTTCCCTCAAAACACTATTTCTATTTTCACATCAAATATGGGGACATACTGGTTTTTGTTGTAAAAAAGCCACCAGCTAAAATTTTGTAACTCGACTGCTAAACAAGGAAAAAATTTTTATATCCTAATGAAAATGTTCAATCAATTCTGAAAATAAAAGTATTGGGGTATTTTAAAAAGTTAAATAAGCTCTCACAGCAATAAAGACAGAAATTCAAATATTTAAAGAAATAGCAGAAAAATACTACATATTGAATAGTACACACCATGTGATTGAAGAAAGTAAATTAATTCTGTATATTTGCAAAGGCGCTCAGTTTCAGTATGAAAATATACAATCTCTATTAACATAGTGTTACATCGTTAATTTATTCTGATCCGAGTCGTAATTTATTTCTGTCACACTAGAGCTACACAATGGGTGATGGGAAACAACTCAGAGGATAATGAGAATTATGATCCTCTGCTCAACCATTTTGATAGAACAATAACCTGTGCGCAAAATGAGCACTTTATGGTTTAACAACAATCGATACAGTGCACCCTCAATTTCTTTGCAGACTGCAGCCAATTATACTTGAATTCGGTGTTCCAATGAGAACCATGTCATTACGATTTATCCACCATGGGACAATTAGTATTCTAACTACTCTTTCTGTAAATATGATTTAAGAGTTGATAGTACATATATGTAACATAAAAAGCTTCAATTAATCTTTTTACGTTATTCCTTTTCTGTAAATCCTTTTCTTAAATTATTATTCAAAACGAAACACTTTCTCACACTTTTAAATTTTCCTCCTGTCCTTAATCTATTTTTGGCTCAAGCATTCATTAATTAAAAACAAGACATTTTTTCCTTTGCTCCTCGTGGGAATCGTGCAACCTATTTAATAAACCAATTACAACTACTAAGATTTCCCTTATTCCCTAAAATGAAACATTTTACGGATTCACTTTGCAAGAATTTCCGTAACTTACAATGAGGAGCNTCGTGGGAATCGTGCAACCTATTTAATAAACCAATTACAACTACTAAGATTTCCCTTATTCCCTAAAATGAAACATTTTACGGATTCACTTTGCAAGATTTTTCGCAACTTACAATGAGGAGCACAATGTTTCTTGAACACACTTTGATAAACGTTCTCAATCTAATAACTAATAAATCAATTTTGTACCCTCCTTCCCTGCCTAAGACCTGTTTTATTCCTTCCACTCGGCAACGACGTTATAAGTCGGCAGGATAAAACAGTAGGGAAGGGGGTACAGTACATCAAACATATGCAATATCTTATTTGAAATTAAATCAATCGGAAGAAGGTACATCAAAAATATGGAATATCTGATTCAAATAGACAGTTGGAAATTTATCAGTCAAATTATTCTTCAACTCATGGCAATTCATCCAGTATCTTCAACAAAAAATAAATGCTTCAATCATCAAACTTTTCGTTTATGTAAATGATACCTACGGGCAGTGAAACTTCACTTATTGATCATCGACTTTCCATTTGCTTATGCTACATGTTATGTCTATGTTCTGAAAGCAATGAATACTACTAGAGAGCTGAGCTTCAATATTTTTCACCCCCTTGGACTAAAAATAAAAACTGCATCAGACTCCTGATAGACTTCAAAAAGTTTTCAATTTGAAATCCCATCCTTTTCCTTTACAAGTGACTTTCGAAAAGCTTAGATATGCCTATCCCTGTGGTGCTCTGAATTGTATCAATGATTTGTTCTCACCCCACCTCATTCGAGGAGAAATATGATTTCTTTTAAAGAAGAAACTAATTTTTTATTTATCAACTTTCATCTATGATGTTGCGGTTTTCAAAATATCTTCTTGGACTAATTCCAACTCTCTTCACATATCCTTTGTAGTATTTATTATTATTTTTTTTTTTACAATTTCTTATGTTTAACTCACAAAACATTTATTTCTTTAATTTTCATTGATTAAAAAAAAAGCACTCATGTAAATAAAAAAATAAAAAAAATAACGGATTATGATTATAATTTAAATTTTTCTTCTTCTCATACTTGATGTTTCAATTGAAATAATTATTTCTTATACATTGATCTTATTTTCATTGTTTAACAGGTATGTTTATTTTTACATTTCGGAAACTTATTTACTGATGAAATTTTAATTCTTGCGAAATTTTTATTTTCAATGAATTGATTGTTTCAATTGGCATAAAAAATGTTTGGAGAAATTATTTTCATATTTATTGTTTTATGTGTAACAGTTTCTATGATTTATTGATTAGTAGAATTTATATTTTTGTTTTACTATAGTGTTTAGGGTTAAGATAAAAATGCAATTAAAATATTAAAAAAATTTTCTCTTCTAAATATAACTACAATAATTATTGAAATTAATTTTTAATATATGCTTGCAATTGCGGTATAGTAGAAAATATAAATTAAATCAAGAAATTTTAAAACTAATACAAATAATTCGGAAAATGAATAAAATACTTGTTTTTAGAATTTGTATTGAAGAACAACCAGACATTAATGCTTGAGTCTAATGTTGGTAATTACTTCATAACTGAGTAATTTCCATAAATAAATTGTTTCTTTATTTCTGAGCTTTAATTCCAACATAAAGATAGGAAAATGATCAAACACAAATTGGAAAGAAATAGTAACCGAATATGCTTAAAAATATGCTTAAATTTGAAATGAAAATATTTAAATTTTCTAACACCCGATTGTGACAAATTGAATTACCAATTAAGATCTCTGAACAAAAATTACTTAAAAAAATATCCAAACTAAAATTTTTGGAGAAAAAAAATTATTCCAAAAGGAAAGAAAAAACTTAATGAATGCAAAGGAAACAAAAAGTAATTTGCAAATCAAACTTGCACTTCAGATTAAAAATAAGGAAAATAGCTAGGTTAGTCAAATTTTAAAAACTGATTTACCCTATACCATATTGAATTTGAAAGCTTTGTTTTGGATTTCAATTAGTGATTAATTGTGTTAAACAGGTTGTAATGCAAAATCTGAGAAAACATCACCTTTTCTGATTATAAAAGCAATGTATCCTTACGCATTTTTCCTAAAATCCAGGTTAATGGTTGCAATAAAATTACCAAGAAAGAAAATAGAAGAATAAAAAAATATAGAAAGTAGAAAGAAAAGAAAAATAAAAGAAAGAAAAGAAAAAAATGTTACAGATGGCAAATTTTTGACATAAAGAAAATTTTTTTTCCTTCAAATATTTTGTTATTGACATGACAAATATAAAAAATAAATAAAAAGAATACTTCTAATAAAGAAAATATTGAAATATTTTATGTATCAAAATTACAAAGATACAGCCCATCTGATAAAACTGAAATTATTTCATGAATAATAAACAAATGTAATAATTTAAATAATATTGTGGTTTAATAATAGAATAAATTATATTTTATATTAAATTTAATGGTTTTTCATTGTAAATAGTCAAATCAAAAATACTGAATATGACATAACAAATGCACATGGTTCAGTGGAACATGTTGTCCCCTTTTTTCTGGAAGATCCGACCCTTCAAATATAACGTTTACTCAAATCTAAAATAAGGATATGGGGCGATGATAGTTTTTTTTCTTCTCTTTTTGTGGTAAAAACCACAAATGGATACAATTTTTAACAAAGATAAGTATTTATTTGAAACTAGAATCTTCCAGTATAACATTGTTGAGATTAGGGACTGTTTTCCTCCTTTTGGAGAATACAGCCCCTCATTTGCAAAATTGCCCTAAAAACACTGAAGTCTTAAACTTCAGAATAACAACCACTGTGTCAATTTTTTTATAAAATTTTGTTTTCAAACAAGGTAAACAATACTGAAGTGTAATTTCAGATTGAAATTTTTCCCGTAAAACTGCTTTATACATTTTATGTTTTACATTTCAACTTACACACTTTTAAAAATGTTTATAAATTTTTATCCTGATTGATGAGTTAAATTAAATTGTGTTATTATGAGGAATGCTTCTTGGAGAATAACTTTGTTGTGATCTTCAAACAAAAGACTTGGAACTGAAAAAACTGTTAAGTCATAAAAACTGCTGAAAATGAAAATCATAATCTTAAATTTGCTGATAATGCTAGTACATATTTTTTATTGTGTCAAATTTTTACCATGAGTATAAATGTGTATTTTTTATAATTCATATATTACTTTAATATATTGTTAATATTACAAATTTTATTCTTTTCATTTTATTTGTGCTTCGATCATAGGGAAGATTCTGCAAATAGATAATAATTTTTAAAATTTCTGGATTGTAATTAAAATTTTTGGGGAGGGGGATGTAACATAAAAAGCTTCAATTAATCTTTTTAGGTTATTCCTTTTCTGTAATTCCTTTTCTTAAATTATTATTCAAAACAAGACACTTTCTCATACTTTTAAACTCACATCCTGTCCTTAAATCTATTTTTGGCTCAAGCATGCATTAATTAAAAGCAAGAAATTTTTTCCCTTTGCTCTTTGAACGAATTACACGACCTACTTGATAAACCAATTGCAATTACTAGGATTTCCTTTTTTCTCTAAATCGAAGCATTTTACGGATTTTCTTTGCAAAATTATCCCTAACATTTATGCTGGAACACGACAAATTTGTGACAGATTCTCTCTCGCCATTCATCTCATAATGATTAAATAAAATAAATTTGCACTTTTTAA